TAAAACGCTTTGAGCAGAATGAGAAATGAAGATAAAAGTCTAATTAGGAGTTTCATTGCTGACGATATCGCATTGGAATTTCCATTAACTCTATTGAGTAACTTGGTTGTAATCGATTTTCTTAGTAGTGAAGAATCGATTGATTGATTTTAGCTGCAACACTGGCGATAAAGTGTTAATTTCGTTAAAAAAAAATTAAATTATTGATTTGTTGAATATATTGACCTCGTAAATAAATCAGCTAATTTGGCAAATATTGTTTATAAACCGAAAAAAGAAAAAAAAAGAAAAAGAAGAGAGAACACAAAAATGGATGTTTTGTATTTCGTTGTCATCTGATTCTTGACTTTTTTCGTTTTATTTTTTTTATAAATTATTATCTCGCAATCTAAACAAACGTAATTTAAAAGATCTTTAAAATTTTTCAGATTCTTGATCGAACCTTCCTGTTTACGTTTAATTTTGTGATTATTTTGATGCAAATTTCTCTTCATAAAATAAACTGTCTCCACATTAAAACGTAAATTAAAAAATTCAAGACATAATCATTTTACTCCTTCCGGATAGCTTACGACCGTATCACGTTGAAAGATCGGTTCTCGTACAATCACCGAAGTTAAGTAATGTCGAGCCTGTTCAGTACCCTGTTCAGTGACCACTTCGGAATAACAGATGCTCTAGGCTTTGATGTGCGGGTGGTATAATGGATAATGACTCAGAATTGTTAATCAGAGAGCCGAGTTCTAATTTCATTTGGGCTCGTTAAATCCACTTAAACGTAAATACCCTTGGGAAAGGTATGAATCCAGTTATTCTTCCGCCAGCTATGGGCTAACTTGGAAAACTAGTTTAACTAAATCATTATATATATATTTTAAGACTATTTTTTATGTTTATACGTTCTTTTTATAGATACAAATATTTAAGTAAATGCTCTGTTTATAATAAACAGTATTAAACAACATTTACCGAATTTGCCTGAATGTCCGACACATTTTAATAGAAAATATGCGTCCTCCGACAGGAATCGAACCTGTGTTCTATACGGAACCGTCATATATGTTAACCATGTTCACCATAGTCTATGAATATAGAATACAACGCAATACGTAATCTGTTCAATGAAATAACGTTAAAGATTAACACTCACGAGTCAGACACTCTACTGAATCTGACTTTATCGCCAATACCACCACCAGCTGTTCTGTAATTCTTTAGTCTTCGATATCAAAGGCTGCCAGTGAATATTCGGAAAAAAAATGGCCGCCTTTATACACGTCGCATTGAATATTTTGAGCCTTCTGATTGGTTAACCCTTCTATTGGTGAACTATAAAATGAGTCAGCACATTTTTGGCTGGCTGACTAGTACACCAAGATACCCCAAAATTCTAACAATACAGCCTGACGTGCTTTTACCGATTGAGCCACAGAGGAACGTATCGGTTATCAAGGTCGATTTTACTGTTTTTAAACCACAATTCTCCATAATTTTCTTTCATACAATCATATCTGCTCGATGTGTATCCAAATGTAAACAAATGACGTCACATTATGAAATGGACTTTGTGCTGTCGGTGCATACACTAGTATGATGGATATGTTGAAATGCTTTCGTTTCAGTTTAAAGTCAAGAATCCTTTCAAATAATTAGCATTTCTTGAACTAGTATCAATCTTACTCCTCTTTCATTTTTTTTCCGCCTGCATATATGATGCTATGTTTGTCATTGAAAAAATCGCCATTGTTTGCCCACCTCGTTTCACATATGCCTAAAATATTGACATTTAGCCTGCTCATTTCCTATCTATATTTCCGAGATGAGGTATTATGTACACAATTTACATTATTCGGACTATTGTCCCCATCTTTGTCGCCATATTTACTACAACGTTTCGGACTTTTAGTATCTGTCTATATTTCTGAGATGAGGTATTATGTACACTATTTACATTATTCAGACTATTGTCCTCATCTTTGTCGCCATATTTATTACAACGTTTCGACCTTTCAGTATCTGTCTATATATTTCTGAGATGAGGTAGTATGTACATTATTTACATTATTCGGACTATTGTCCTCATCTTTGTCACCATATTTGTTGCAACGTTTCGGCCTTTCAGTATCTGTCTATATTTCTGAGATGAGATAATATGTATACTATTTACATTATTCGGACTATTGTCCCCATCTTTGTAGCCATATTTACTACAAAGTTTCGGACTTTTAGTATCTGTCTATATTTCTGAGATGAGGTATTGTGTACGCTATTTACATTATTCAGACTATTGTCCTCATCTTTATCGCTATATTTATTACAACGTTTCAACCTTTCAGTATCTGTCTATATTTCTGAGATGAGGTAGTATGTACATTATATACATTATTCGGACTATTGTCCTCATCTTTGTCGCCATATTTATTACAACGTTTCGGCCGTTGTACGCTCCGGCCTTCCTCAGGTGGTTGGAATGTTGAACTGAACCCTTTATTTCGCTCACTGTGGTAGACTGTTCTAGTTCCACGTGCCATGTCTAATGGATGCCAGTTATCAGTTATTTCCTGTTAATTCCCCTCTCCAGTTTCTCCACTGCCTTAACCAGGTATTGAACTCACACTCCTTGGGTCCTGTCACTGGATCTAACTAACGCCTTTATCCAAAGGAAAAAATCAGTCGTGGCTTCCAACAACTTGAAGAAGGCCGGAGCGTACAACGGCCGAAACGTTGTGATAAATATGGCGACAAAGATCAGGACAATAGTCCGTATAATGTAAATAGTGCTCATTTTCTGTTTAATAATTTCTAACTGGACAGAGTGAATTAATGTTCTAACATTTCATGTCCCGTGTATTTGATATTTTCAAAAATCCGGCAGACAAAAGATGAAATTATTTGAAGGAAAATATAGACCCCCCCCAAAAAAAAATTAACGGAAATAAAAAAACAAAGCAAAAAAAAAAATTTTCCTTAAAAATTGGGTCATTTTTACAGGGATGAAATAAAGTGCAATATTTATTTAGTCTATTTTAATTGGGTGCATGAGCACAATAAAAATGCATTCGCGGTATGGAAAAAATTAATGCAACGAAACCTTTTAATAAATTAATTCATACTTTGGTGCAATAAAGATAGGAAGCTTTATGAAGATTCAAGAATTACTTCAAATTCTGAAGATTTAAAAATAAGAATGTGTCAAGTGTTATTGATTTTTCACTGTAATTTTTTTTTTTAACAAATGAAAAACAGTTTCAAGATAAAAATGTTTCCAATTCTATTGGACGGAAAGTATTTTTCTAACAGAATATTTTATAGTTTTTCATCTTCGTAATGGCAAAAACTTTATGAAAAATTGAATTAACTTTTTAATCTAAATGGATTTTTCGTCACGGATGTCAATCTCGTCAAATGTCTGTGGGAAATTCCATATGGATAGATGGATAAACATCAAGAGAGTGAGAATAAGATAGATCGATATCAATGAATAGAATGAGATAGGTAGATCGATATGAAAAGAATTAGATAAATAGATAGATAAATAGATATACAGAGAGTGACATAAAAAAAAACATGCATAGTTTGCCAGAGGTATACAGAGAGAAGAAGAGAGAGAGAGAGAGAAGAAGAAGAAGAGAGAGAGAGAGAGAAGAAGAAGAAGAGAGAGCGATAGGGAGGGAGGGAGAAGGGGAGAGATGGAGAAAGAGAGAGAAAAGAGAAAGGGGGGAGAGAGAAATAGGGAAAAGCTTTTAGTTTTCATGTCATTTAGATTCTTCAGAGGTTTTTAATGCAAAAGCGATTATCACATCTTCTGTCTTTCTAATAGCAGTTATTGTTTTTTCTCCCCATTTTCTTTCAGCCTCAGTAACCCTTTGCTTTTTAGTGGTATTATCGCGTTACAAGGGGGGGGTTGAAACGGTTAAAAAAGACAACAGGGGGATGTACATAGATGAAGAAGAGAATGAGATAGATAGTTACTGAACAGAATGAGATAAACAGATGGACATATAATGAACAGAATGGCACAACTAGATGGCTGGGATAGATAGATAGATAGATAGATAGATAGATAGATAGATAGATAGATAATGAACAGAATGAGATAGATAGATAGATAGATAGATAGATAGATAGATAGATGGATAATGAACAGAATGAGATAGATAGATAGATAGATAGATAGATAGATAGATAGATAATGATAATGAATTAGATTAGATAGATAGATAGATGAATAGATAGATGAATAGATGAATGAATGAATAATGAACAGAATGATATAGATAGATAGATGAATGAATAGATAGATGGATGAATAGATAGATAATGCAGAGAATTAGATAGATGAATGAATAGATAGATAGATAGATAATGAACAGAATGAGATAGATAGATGAATAGATAGATAGATAGATAGATGGATAATGCAGAGAATTAGATAGATGAATAGATAGATAGATGAATAGATAATAGATGGATAATGAACAGAATGAGATAGATAGATAGATAGATAGATAGATAGATGGATGGATGAATAGATGGATAATGAACAGAATGAGATAGATAGATAGATAGATAGATAGATGAATAGATGGATAGATAATGAACAGAATGAGATAGATAGATAGATAGATGGATAGATAGATGGATAGATGGAATGGATGAACAGATGGATGGATGGATAATGAACAGAATGAGATGGATAGATAGATGGATGGATGGATAATGAACAGAATGAGATAGATAGATGGATAGATGGATAGATAGATGGATGGATAGATGGACAGATGGATGGATAGATAATGAACAGAATGAGATAGATGGATGGATAGATAGATGGATAATGAACAGAATGAGATAGATAGATGGATGGATAGATAGATGATAGATAGATGGATGAATGATGGATATTGGTTTGGTGCAAAAATGATGACGTAATAATGTCGTTTTTGATGTATTTTTTAACGTAAAAAACGACATTATTACGTCATTATTTTTGCACCAACCTAATAGATAGATAGATAGATAGATAGATAGATAGATTTGACCAGACTGAGATAGATAGATAGATAGATAGATAGATAGATAGATAGATAGATAGATAGATAGATATGAACAGAACTAGATAGAGAGATAATGGGCAGAGTGGAAAACTAAACAGGAAAACAATAAAGAGTACAGGATAGATCGATAATGAACAGAATAAGGTAGATAGATATATAGATAGATCGACAGATAGATAGATCGATAATGAACAGAATGAGATAGATAGATAGATAGATAGATAGATAGATAGATAGATAGATAGATAGATGGATAGATAATGAACAGAATGAGATAGATAGAAAGATAGATAGATAGATAGATATTAGGTTGGTGCAAAAATAATGACGTAATAATGTCGTTTTTTGATGTATTTTTTAACGACAAAAACGACATTATTACGTCATTATTTTTGCACCAACCTAATAGATAGATAGATAGATTTGACCAGACTGAGATAGATAGATAGATAGATAGATAGATAGATAGATAGATAGATAGTGAACAGAATGGAAGAAATAGAGAGATTAGCATCCAGGTCCCACCCTTTTACTGTTCAAATAGTTAACTGTAACCACAACCTCTACTCCAATAGTTTCTTTTCTCGTACTTCTCGCCTGTAGAACACACTTCCCTTTAATTGCTTCCCTGAAAACTACAATCTTCAACAATTTAAGTGCAAAGTCCATCGCCATCTTCCGTCTTGTAGAAAATCCCGTTCATCTTTTATCTTTTACTCAATCCCGCCAATACGCAGCCTTTCCTCTTTAATGAACAGAATGGGATAAATTTCTGTCTTTCCCCCATCTATCTATCTATCTATGAAAGTGAAAAAATGCTAGACGCAATCATGGCCTGACGATTGCGTCTAGCATGAAACAGACTGTCGCCTCTAAGTGTTGATTTCAATATTCACTTTTATATTTACACACGCTCTGATATTGAGCACTTTATCCCATAAATATACCACACCTTACGACTATATATATATATATATATATATATATATATATATATATATATATATAGATAGATAGATAGATAGATAGACAGATAGATAGACAGAATGGTCGCGTATTTTAATTGACCTGATTTTTATATTTGAAAGCTCTACATGTCATTTTTATTTTTTACTTATATTTTTTTACACGTGTATTGAACACTTTTTAATACTACTGTTTTCTGGTCTGATTCAACTCTGACCATTAACCTTTATGTATGCAGTTATGCATATATATATATATATATATATATATATATATATATATATATATATATATATATATATATATGGAATAAATACATAGAATACACAGAATTGGATAGATAGATAGATAGATAGATAGATAGATAGATAGATAGATAGATAGATAATGAACAGATGGAATTTAACAGATAAGCAGATAATCAACAGAATGAGATACATAGATAAATTACAAATAGAAAGAGATAGCCAGATAGATTATGAAAAGAATAACACATAGATAGATTATTAACAGATTAAGATATATTGATGCATAGATTATGAAAAGAATAAGATAGATAGATAGATAGATAGATAGATAGATATAAATAGACAGAGATAGATAGATAGATAGATAGATAGAGAGATAGATAGATAGATATAAATAGAGATAGATAGATAGATAGATAGATAGATAGATAGATAGATAGATAGATATAAATAGACAGAGATAGATAGATATAAATAGACAGAGATAGATACATAGATAGATAGATAGATAAGAATAGACGGAGATATATAGATAGATCTAAACGTATAAATCTGAAGCCTGCAACATTGTAATCCTTGAAAACACTCGAGTGATTTGTTATCAACGAGAAAACAAAATCTTCGGGTTGATGTTTTAAACAACAATGGAGAGTAACGATATTTTGAATAGATGTCAAACGTGAATTCTAGTTATTGTTCTCTAACGATTCCAGAGAGCATACAAATTAGGCAAACACAAAAAGATATTTAAACAAAATTCTTACATGACTAAATTCTTCGGGAAATGTCATGGCCATAAAACAGCAGAAATCTTAAAGCAGAACTAAAAATGATGCTATTTCTTTCAGGACGTTGACGATCATGGTTCTCCACGGAGTTTATCTCAACGCTTTCCAAAGAGGAGATCTTGGGACTAGGTTAAAATTTATGAGCACTGCGTTGCTGAACAATTTTAACCCTTCAGCCTGACCTAGGTCAAAGTTCGCAAATAATTGGTATGCAATGTTTCACGGTAGATATAAAAATAGTTACAAGTGTTTACCCACCTTTCAACCAGTGGCTGGACATTAAGTCATTTATCTCTACCACCGTTCAACCGGTGGCTGAGCATTAAGTCATTTTTCTCTACCACCGTTCAACCAGTGGCTGGACATTAGGTCATTTATCTCTACCACCGTTCAACCGGTGGCTGAGCATTAAGTCATTTTTCTCTACCACCGTTCAACCGGTGGCTGGGCATTAAGTCATTTTTCTCTACCACCGTTCAACCGGTGGCTGAGCATTAAGTCATTTTTCTCTACCACCGTACAACCGGTGACTGAGCATTAAGTAATTTTTCTCTACCACCGTACAACCGGTGGCTGGCATTAAGTAATTTTTCTCTACCACCGATCAACCGGTGGCTGGGCATTAAGTCATTTTTCTCTACCACCGATCAACCGGTGGCTGGGCATTAAGTCATTTTTCTCTACCACCGATCAACCGGTGGCTGGGCATTAAATCACTTTTCTCTACCACCGTTCAACCGGTGGCTGGGCATTAGGTCATTTTTCTCTACCACCGTTCAACCGGTGGCAGGACATTAAGTCATTTTTCTCTACCACCGTTCAATCGGTGGCTGGGCATTACGTCATTTTTCTCTAACACCGGTAAATCGGTGGTCAGGGCTCAACGGTTAATCCTTGTCCTGACCTCTCGGTCAGGTGGTTCTAATGAATTTGAAAAAAGCAACTGTCAAGTTCCACCTTGAGATTGTGTCAGGAGTATTTGTAATTCTATGTCCGAACTCTTTTACTTCCCTTTCTTACTTTCAAAGCAGAATAAATAACTTTCCTATGCATGCCCTTACACTAACGCCCACGCTTCTGATACTAACTCATATGAGGATAGGGGTGCACACTCACCCGCGAGCAACCTTCGTTACCCTCTTTTCCCAATGGTCTTTATTCTTCATGGAAATGAGCGCGCTTACCTTGGTACACTAGGTCTCTGGTCGGTAGGATGCTTCTGACCCAAAGAGAAGTTCTGTTGCCTTGACTTCTTGGCGGACGAGACACGTACACTCGGAGTATGTTTCTTGGGTTGTTTGCTCCGTTATTGCTTGAGGTAAGCGTTTTCTAGATTTTGGTGTTATCCGTCTGGTCAGGGATCCGAACATTCGAGTAACTTCGGAGGAGGCTATCCTATCAGCTGGTGTATATTAGTGATTTTCCAAGCGTAGCTTAGATGCGACACAACGCCGGAAACTTGGGGCATCCAGTGAGGATCGAACTCACTATTCAGTCGTAACCGTTTTAGCGAGACAAGCTTGCTAACAATTACACCACGCCGAGGTGCCCTCAGCTGGTGTGTAATATCGGGGCAGTGTACTGCTATTTTGTAAATGATTTCTGGACTGTGTAGTAGTCTCTGGTTGGGCCTCTCGCTGCCATGATAGGGGTACTGTTACGAAAATATCTCCGGACAAATCAACTTGTGCATCTCCAATGGGCCTTCTAGTTATCCACCAAACCAACCAAAACTAACATGAAAGTGGTCAAATTGAAAACGAAAAATACTAGCAAACCCAGCCACTATAACCACACCCTAGGTGTACCATCCCCTACACCAATGTAAAGGGTCTATGTTCAAGTGGAACTCCATATTGTTCAGTCTAAACAGGGTATCAATAATTCAATCCCATTGTAGGACCTCAAAATCCCGGGTTATTTGACCATTGTAATAAAATACGACCACTGAAGTCGCCACGGACTCCATGCCTACATCAAGAAAGGTTCCTGATCTCTCGTATATCTGCTTCCGCGTGGCACTTATCAGTAGTACCATATTCATCTTTTCACTGTATAGCCCTCAGAAAGAAGAGTCGTTAATAACAGTCCCGGTCTATTCACCCATTATAACAAAATATGGCCACCTCAATTGCTATGGTCACGAGCTTGGTGCCTCCATAAAGAACTGATGTCCCTATTGCAGGGACACAAAAACAAAAAAGAAAACAAAAAAAAAAAAACGAGGACTCTGATCTCACGTATATGTGTTTCCGTTTGTCACTTATCAATAGTACCATATTCGTCTTGCTCTGTATCGCCCTCAGGATGAAAGGTCGTTAATCTTCGATCGAATATCAGAGAGTATTGACAATATCCTCACTCTAATACCTTTGGCTAGCTTTCACGTATGCGATGATTTTAATATTCACCACAAAGAGTGGTTAACCCGCTCGAACAACACTGACGAGGAAGGCAGATCTTGCAGTGACTTCTCCATCACCTAGGAACTATCCCGGCTCATTGAAAACTCCACCCGGGTACCGGATGCGACGGGACAGCAGGCGAACCTCCTCGACCTTTTTCTAATACCCTTCCCTGACAAAGGCTTAGCAATATAGCCACGTTTGACCATTCCCTTGTCAATGTCTAGATTGATTCCAGATCATGACATCCGCTAATTTTCCGTTCCATAGTTATATTTTTTCGCTATGCGAAGGCAGATTGGGACAACTTTCGATCCTATATGACGGAAACTCTTCTCCCAAAATTTTTCAAACATGCAGCCGCTAAAACTGCTATCTACCAAGATGGATCCTTTCTGGAACGGATTGTTTTATAATCCCCCTCCCCACAAAAAATTTCCAGCAAAAGCCAAACAGTCAACCCTAAAAGCATTGCAGTCATAGCTTATGGAAACTAATACTTCAACGCCTATCGCAAGGAACCGTTTAGTTTTGCTCTTACTTCTTTCAGAACTGCCCACAGTCGCTGTAAGAAAATTCTGGAAAACGCCAAGTGCAGTTACGCGGGAGCTGTTCAGGCCAAGGTTTAAAAGAAATAGTGCTCACTATTATAAATATTAGGTTGGTGCAAAAATAACGTCGTTTTTTGACGTTCAACTTAACGTCAAAAACGACATTATTTTTTCACCAACCTAATAAGTCATATCTTCCACCAGAGACAAGGCAAAGAAAGATTATATCAATTGCTAGGTCGGCTGCTAAAAACGTTGGTTCGCTTTTTTCGCGCTAGACAATTTTTCTCTCCTGAATTTATCATTACATATTTAGAAGTCTATCATGATTTAAATTCTAGGCTGACAGATTATTTTCCCGCGTTTTTTGCTGCTTGTCGAACTTTTTTTTCTGGTTCTATGCTTTCCACCCAACTTTGGCCTCCAAAATTTTAAATGTACCGTCAATCATTATCTACTTTTTTTCTTGATTATTCTTCTTTTATTCTCGTTCCTAAATAATGTTTTCTTCTTTCTTCTTTTTTTTTTTTTTACACTCAATAACGCCTTGTGTCTTAGTGGCTTTACTGCCTTGATTGGGCTGATATGATTAAAATAAGAAGCTTTTTCGACCAACCCTTATCAAATGGGATCGGCCTAAAAGTAAACTTTATTCATCATCGCACGAAAAAAAAAAATCACAGATATTGGGCGAACATTGTCCGTCAGCAAATGTCGTGTTCTTTTCTCCCATATAACGTATGTCATTCGTTTATTTATGTGCCAATGTGAATCTGTTTATACTAGTCGCACCTCATAAAAATTGAAATGAAGGATGAAGCAATATGTCCCACCTTGGATCAGGAATGGCCAATCATGTCAAAACGCAATTTTGACGTCTTTGTAGAGTATTTCGGATTCAGCGATTGGCTAACACTTTATTGACAATTCTGTCTGTGTCGACACTTTCTCATGGAACGGATTTAATATTCTAAGTACGGTACATTCGTCTTTTCACATATATTTTCGAATCTCTTTTTTATTTTTAGATTCATTTCTTTACACCATGTTATCAGGCGTAACCAAATTTAACCTACTATCTGTCAATTGCGTTTACTTTTATCATATTGCATGAGAAAAAGAGACCACTTAAACCGTTTTATACTGTTTTTATCGGTAACCCTATTTTATGTTTTAGCGTTTTAAACTTGACAATTCATTTACATAAAATCAGAAAACTCAGCCGCTTATGTCAAATTATGAGACATTTTTTTCTAGTCACCACTTCTTCAAGTTACATTTATGTTTTTATTACGCGTAAAACTTTGTTGAAACGTAATGATTTTTAGGGTTTATTAATATACCAATTTATATATATATATATATATATATATATATATATATATATATATATATATAGTGTGAGCCGAATATAAGAGACCCGGATATAAGAGAAACCCGGATATAAG